AAAAAAAAAATGAAGTGCATCAAGGTCCTATTATGTTTAATGTATGTACCAAATTTGAACAAAATCCGTCCATGCATAACTGAGATCCGGGTCCGGAATGGTGAAAATGTGCGATTTTGATGCATTTTCGGCCTTAAAATGGCCGCTATTCGGCTATCGTTAATCGGATCATGAAAAAAATGCATGTGCATATGTCCCATATAATGTGTGATGTATGAGTGAAGTTTGAACTTAATCGGTCCATGCATGTTCGAGATACAGGTGATCACGGACGCACGGACGGACGGACGGACGCACACAGGGCAAAACATAAGTCCCCGTTTTCGGACTGCGTCCGAACGGGGACTAAAAAGTACATACTGTGAAATACTTTATTTTTGCTGAAAAGGCTTTTTGGGCGTTTTGTATGGAATTTATTTTCACTGATTTTTGATTAGTTTAATGTGAAATATAGGAAAAAAAGTATATTCGCTGGATATTATTTTCACGGAATCATGCCTTCAGCGAAAAAAAATTCCAAGCGAAAATAAAGTATTCTACAGTAGTCTTTTATTTATCTTTGAACCAAACTAATATGTAACTGTGCTTTTACATGTACGTGTGTCATCGTAATCTTAAAAAGTACATAGTCTATTATTTATCTTTGAAACAAATGCAATATAATGGTATTAACTGTGCTTTTAATTTTGATCTTAAAAAATACATAGTAAATTACACATTTGTAATGAAGAATTAACTATGCAAGTACAAGTGCCGATTTCACAATGACATCAATAATATATATCAATCATGCAAATAACACAATTAATCAAAATTAACACCAGTGATATAATCTGTCCTGCTGATAGTGATAATGGAAATGTTACCCATAATGCAAATGTCATTTACCAAAAAATAGCACTTCTGCCAGTGCATACTATTATTTTTTATTTTCTGCGGTCACCTGACAAATGATACTACGAATTTAAAACTTGGTAAAATCTACAGAATAATGGAAAAGTCTGATAATAATAAGTAATAACATAATAATAGAAATAATAATAAATGTAATTATTTAATGATGGTTAAGAAGAGTGTCATAATTGAAACCTGTGAATGGAAAATATGCAAATGAACGATGATGTGTTCAAACTAATGGCATGTATAACACAGTACTATAAAATACTTTCGTTTGGAATTTATTTTCGCTGAGGGAATGATTCAGTAAAAATAAAATCCATTATACATCTGTCACTGTTTTTGCTGTATTTTACGGGGTATTTTCATCCAACCATACAAGGAAATGCGAATTCCAAATATGAAATGATAATACAAACAAACATGGCTACCACCAGGGTTTGACCAGACTCCATACAAAGAAGTTCACTGATTCTGTTCTAAACATTTTGTATTTAGGCATTCCCATGATATATCCTTGAAAGGAAAAAGGTGTATAAAATTAAGGTTATTATGATTATGCCACAAAGTATGCACTCAGATAGTACGCTGTCACATCGACCTCCGCTGCTCGTCGGTCGATACCCCCGCTGTACTGTCTTTGTGCATACTTTGAGGTATCCTCGCAATAACCTCATATTATGAGTTGATAAGATTGTATTAATACAACCAAAACAGAGTTTAAAAAAAAAATAATAACTAATACACGAATTACATTTTTTTTACAGAATTTCTTTGACGATACAGTATTCGTATACAAAAGTATTAAAAAATATTTTGCTGTATATAATCAATAGGTTATATATGTCTCTAAACAAATTTATAACACGCTAGCTTTTTGTACATCTACTGTACTTCCGATAATAAGCCCAGGGACCTCAACATGTAAACCAGGGAAAACAAGGGGTGGGCTTATTTTTTGTCCACCATGCCAGGCTCAGGGGAATATTATGTCTTTTTTGAGAAACACTTTTCACAACACTTTTACAATGAATAAACAAATGTGTTCATAAAAATACACACATTTTATTATGAATTTCTGGTGTAAAAGTGGGTAGGGGTTGTGGGTAAGTGGGTTGAAGGCAAGATCTTCATTATCTTTGTCGTGGAATGTTTTTGATTGTATGCAAACTCTCAAAGCAAAGCAATTTCTGCCACGTTTTTAAGCATGATTTGACCTGAAACAACGTACTAACAGGTGAAGCCTTTTTATTAACCAATCAAAATGCTGTGTCATACTGACAAAATTTTTCGATTATTGTTTATGTAATTTTTTCAAGGCAAAGCAGAAGTGAATTACCACAATGTTAAAATGCAATCTGTTAGCACTGATCTTGACGACAATTTTTCCCCCTAAAAACTGTTGATTCACAATTATCGACCAGTACAGGAAGTATCTACCGATAAACACCCTTCACGGTCACCAACAGGTCACCTCAAATAATACTGTATTTAGCTTATTTCGCTGACTGGAAAAATGCGCTAAATTAAAACACAGTGAATATGTAAAATTTAGCATAAAACACATTATCTAAATGACGAAACCGTGAATTTAAAACCCACTGAATATGCCTGAAATGGTAAATCAGTGAAATTTAAACCCAGTGAAAATTAGTCATTTTACAGTAGTTAACACCCCATTCACGATAGACACGATTATTCAGAAAAGTAAAACGATGTCCACATGATGGCCACATTTTTGACGTTTTGAAACCTACCACCCAAAGAGATATGAACTACTTCAGTATTGCAACATCAGGGTTCATTCTAAGTAAATAACAGATTAGAAAATGTATGAACCAAACTACCATACCAATCATGATTTTTATGCAATGAAACACTTTTTACATGCATATTTTAATAAATGTTGTTGACGCCCAGTAAAAACACCCTGTGGTTGCCCTCAACTTGTTAATTGTCTAAAAATAGAGGGGTGGGCTCATACTCGGGGAGGGACTTACGATCAGGGAAGTATGGTAGTATATCTGGTGTTGAATACATTCATTGTATAATAATCGTAAACAACTTGCACCATAAAAACTTAAATTGCATTCTAAACATGTACTAGAAAACTAAACCTATTCACCTTATACTATATTCCACTATTCTGGACACTTGAGTGTTGAGAGGGCCCCCCTTTTCAAAGCCAAATTTGTTAAAATTGCATTAAGATATATGGGTAATAGAGGCAATAACTGTATCTGGGCAAATTTTTTTATCTGTGAAGTTCAAACCAAAAATATATATTTGGGTGAAAACAATACATACTGTATAATCTTCTACTTGAACTTGATTAAGAAACAATTGAGTACGTGCCAAATATTTGTCCTGCCCAAAATTCAGTGCAAATATTTTCACATTTTGTAAAAATTTTGTCAATTTTATCATCATTTTGAACCATTTGGTTTCGCATATTGCTTTTAGTTTTTGATCAAAAGTTTTGTCACAATCATTTTGTAGATGGTGTAAAAAATCAACATATGATGCTCAAAGAGAGTTAAATGATATGTTCTTATTATAACACTTAAATTCAATATTTCTAAAAACAGAAACCAGAGTAAAATTATAAACAGATCAGATAAAAACAATAGACCATTTTCCGTTCACTGCGAGAATCACGCGTTATGCATGAAATCGAACGTAAAAACAGGACAAACAAAGGTCATAGCGTCGTAGTGGCGTCAAACATCGCGTGGGATTCGACAAACGCGAAGTATTTTGGGTGACATTTCCATGTCAATAATGTGCTGTACACATTTGATGATGGGCAATTTCGACTAAGTGAGGATATTCGAATGCAATATTCCTCTGTCGAAGATCGGCCGGTCGCTGTGCGCTACGAAGAAAAGAAATTCGAGTTCAAAATCAAATCGTTCGATTTTTGCGGCAGACGTTCGACGCGCGTCTTTCATGCATCTCGCGAGATCTCGCAGTTGTACGGAAAATCACCTATTTAAAGTACCTTCAAATTTTGTGTAAAAGTGTATATTATGTGTTGTATACATTCCATGTGATCTATATTAAAGGCAATTGTGACAACATTTTAACAATAACATTTACACAAGTTCTAATGTGTAACCCATGTTATACAGAGCCACAGATGGATACCAACCATAGCTATACATATTACAACCAGTGAATGTGTGCAGCGGTTTTAGTGGAATGCCATTCAATATAGATATAGTACCATTCTGAGTCAGTTCAAGCACTATTAACACACTAGTGATATCCTGACTTAATTCTGTTGTACCTACTAAATTACCATCACTAAAAAACTTGTACTGGTAGAGCTTCCCTATTTTTCCCTGCACCATGCATCGTGATGGATATCCAGATTGGTTGGCATCAATTTCCTTATCTCTGTATGTGGTAGTCGTCATGGCAATCTTGTAATTGATGTCTAGGTCTTTAGTCTTCCCTTCTTTAGATATCATCATCTTCCACATTCTCATTCCTGATGATCCTTTAATAAGATTTGAACCAAGTACTGCAAATGATGGTCCTTGGAATGCACCCGATGTGGTACCAGGGTTGGTGATATTGGTTGGTACTGCGGATGTGAGTGTCACAATCTTCCAGGTCTCCTGGTCAATCTTTAGATTGGGATGAGCAGAACCACTATTCCAATTGAATGAATACTCTGAGAATGAATATATAAATAAAAATAATTTAATAAACGAGTCATTATCAATAACGTACAGTTCCTGTCTGAATTGTATTCTGATGTATTTGAAGACACAGAAAGAATAATGAAAGAAAATGTCATTGAAACAAACAAATTGGCATGTATTCAAAATGTTTTATGTCATGCCTTGGTGCCAAAATTGAATAATATTTGGTTAAGTGCGGCGGAGCAATTTTAATTTAACAAAAAAAATTAGCCCCTACACTACCATAAAAACTCTATTAATTTGCCCACCTCTTTTATTTTCGGGAACTAATTATTATTTGTATTCTATTTAATTCGCCACATTCCAAAAAAAAATTAATTTGTATCCCATTATTTCGCCATACATACATACATTTGCCATATAACTTGTTCTTTTCAGTATGCGTTTATCGTGTTCATGTTACCATTACCTCGAGTAGCTGCGATCACCAGCGATCGTCGCAGCATGGTTATTTAGTAACCATGGTCGCAGCTAGCAGAGTTTTGACTAGAAAAATAACGTTTCATTGCTGGATAATTTATATATCGTATTTATCCGGATAAGCGCCCTGGGTCCTGATAAGGGTCCTGAACATGGAAAATTGCCAAAAAATAGGGGTGGGCATTTGCTCAGATATCCCCCTGCAAAAAAAAAAAAGAAAATCCGCAAAAATTGACAACATGCAGATCGAGCTGCGGCAGGGAATAGAATGTGAAATGAGAACATGCAACGGACGTAAATGAACTATATGCAGCATTAGAAGTGTAACAAGAAATAATTTATTGCTTAAAATGTGACAAATAAACCAGAAATAACAAGTCATTGAAAATGTCACAGTCCTCGTTAAATTTTTGAAAGTCTTTGTGCTCGTCATATTAAAGCGGAGGGGTTGTCGCGAGCATGTCCTTGAAACTTGAGTCCCAAGTGGCGGATATAACAGATTGTTTATTTACATCAAATTCGAACATGTGTTGCGTGATGACCCCTCCGGTTTAATTAAGACATAGCAAAGAAAACATAGATCACAAGTGAAAGCATGTCCAAGTTATCACATTTTAAACCAACAATACAACATTTTCAAAAAACAAGATGGCTGCCAGTCGGCCATTCTGAATCGTATCTCTAAACCATTGCATGTGCATATGTCCCACATAAAGTACTAGGCACATGCAAAGAATGAACAGAATCGGTCCAAAGGATTCTGAAATATGACGACGGACGGACGCACGCACAGACGGATGGACGGATGGACGGATGGACGGACGTTGACCAAATTATAAGTTTTCGGACTTCGTCTGAACGGGGACTAATAAAAATTGACAGTGAAGAATTATTTGAGTTTCCCCGCTGACAAACACGCCCAATACGCGTGAACTCAAAATGAATTAAAATGTCAGGGGTTAAACTGCGTAAAATTATTTCCGGTTTTGACAAAGACCGGATCAACAGCCATAAAAGATCAATAATAATTTACGCAGTAAAATTACGAAAGTTCATAGTTGTTTGAAAAAAACATCTCAGATCTCTATTTGTACGTTCATTGCTATCTTTGTAAAAGTCAAAACCCTCAAAGTCCAAGTCGCGTCACTGTCGCGATTGAACAAAATCCCTACAGCTTCGTCTTGAAGTTCGTCGATGTCGCCCCACACACTTTGGACTTAGGACATTTAATCCACGGATTTTGCTGTCTGTCTGCTTGGCACTTTTAATTCACGTCTAATCAGAATAATAAGACAAGAACATGCAGCCTGTTGGCTGAGATAGCTCTGCTGTTAGCAATGCACATTTGAATTAAAGAACTGAAGATATCATTAGAAAATGAACAATATGTATAGTATCAAAGCAATCAGACTTGTTTTCAACAAGAATTCGAAAATATCACCAAAAATGACAAAAATATTCACCAAAATTAGAGAATTAAAGATATCATCACAAAATGAACAAATCTGAGAGAGGTCCACATGTAGTACCTATATATGTAATATCAAAGTAATCGGATTTGCGGTTTTTTACAAGTCGAAAATATCACTTTTTACAAAAAATGACAAAAATAATCACCAAAAATAACGAATTTAAGATTTTGACCTGAAATGAACAATCTGAGAAAGAACCATCCAAGGTACTTGCATATCAAATTTGAAAACATTCTGACTCGCGGTTTTAAAGAAGAAGTTCAAATTGTAAAGTTGACGACGACCGACGACGGGCAATCAGTAATATGAACAGCTCCGCTGTGTCGACCTCGTCTAAGAATGACATCACTACCGTACTAGTGTTTCATCATAGAGGTCAATTCAACATCGCTTTCTTATCAGATTAGCTGCTCATCAATTGTGGTGAAAGTTACCATTCAGCAAGTTTCAGTGGTTGGTGGCTTGAAATAGGAAGATCTTTTTTTTTACAACGACAGAAGAATAATTTCCATGACAGAAATGCAATAGCTGTGATGAAAGAAGGCAAAAAAGTTGGCAGTCTTTGGCGTGACATTGCAAAATTGCAGGCCCAGTTATGGATTCGCAAGCTGATAGCAAATATTTAAGTCAAAACAACTCACGTTCAACCACTCTCCCAGGTACGGGTTGCTACAATATTGCAACATCGGTTTCATTGTTGATGATGCTAAAGCTGAACAAGTGCGACACTTGCTTCGTGGCTCTCCATATGCTATAGATTTGCATGAATCGTTTCTAAGGAAACACAAACCAAACAGCCCTTTCTACCATTTTTGCTTTAATATACATTTTTGTAGACTTGCTGACTGTTAAGATTCTGATGAAAAATCTTGAAAAATACATGTAAACAGCAGCGAGCACGCTGCCCTTGAGGCAGAATGCGAAACTACCAGAAAAGACCCCCTGGGCGTATGCCAAAATTGGGGGAGCGGGGCTGTTTGTCAGGGCATGGGCGCTTACCCGGATAAATATGCATCGAGTAGTAAATATATATTGTGAATTTCTATGTTAAGCAATAATATCAAAAGAGTACGATAGCCACAAAGTTGAATTGACATGCGTCTGCCATAAGTAAATTTATTCTTTACGTCTACTGTGTGCATCGCCCGGGTGCGTGAATTGACCATTTTGATTGGCCAAGCGCTTGACCGCTTGTCATAATTCTTTGATCGGCGAGATGAGTGGAGCTTTCCGAGCGCAACTACTACTAAAAAACAGAAAAACAAGCCCAAGTCTGTACTGTTATGGCAGCAGTGCTGATCACTAATTGGTGTATTTTGCATTACACTGAAAGGGCACATGTTTTTGTTTTGCAAGCAACTCGTGGCAACATAAATAGCCGCCAGATTCTGATCGCACTGCTTTCTTTTATTATTTTTAGCCAGTAACGTCAGAGACAGTCCCCAGCATGCCTATCTTTTTGTACAGTACATTTTTTTTCGGAGGATTGTTGTCAACGTTTTTTTGGTTGCATCAGGATTTTATCGCTACAATGAATATTCAAACCCAGAGCTAACTGACTATTTCCTGTCCCCCTTCTAGTCAGCAAAAATGTTTTGCCTTTGTACACGATATGATGTATTGATTCGTTTTTTTCCAAACCTTAAAACTACAAACTTTGTCTAGGTGGGGGGCTAATAACGTATGGGGGATAACTGGACAAACAACTGCTTGCCTGGGTAATACAAGAATGAGACTTGCAGATTCCAGTAACAATTTTCGCAATTGGTTATTATGCGATGTCCCCGATAACAACATTCCTCGATTTTAAAGCTTCTCGTGGTTGGGGTCAGCATTTCATGAAACAGAACAATCTCATACTTCATGCAAAAACTTCAATGGCACAGCGATTGCCCACTGACTTGGAAGAAAAACTCAACAGTTTTTTTACATTTGTGCGAAATAAACGCAGTGAAGACTGGTTTGATTATATAGGGAATATGGATGAAACACTCGTTTATTTTGATTTAGTCCCGAACAGAACATGGACACACAAGGGGCAAAAACAGTGAAAGTTCAAACCATGGGCAATGAAAAGTGTCACCTCACTGTCGTACTGACTGTCATGTCAAATGGTGACGTACTTTCCTCCATGATTATATTCAATGGAAAACGCGAACTGAACCTAAAATTTCCACCCGGTTTCGTCATTGCTGTTCAAGAAAAGGGATGGATGAATGAAGCACTCATGCTACACTGGGTAGACGAGATATGGGTACCATACACAGAGAGACGATATTCAATGATTAATTTCATGCTCATATCACCCAGTCTGTGAAGTTAAAGTACCGCCATACCAACCCTTTGCCAGCCGTAATTCCCGGCGGTTGCACGTCAAAATTGCAGCCTCTTGATGTATGTATCAACAAGCTATTCAAGGCAGAATCATGCCTGTCAACGGCCAATAAACAGACTATCATGGACTGGGTTGAAAATGCTTGGAAGAAGTTAGAAGAGCGACCATTGATGATCTCAAATTCATTCAAGGTGTGCAGCATTTAATGCAATGCAATTAACAGGGCTGGACCACCTTATTCGAAGCAATGCCGAAATATTCAAAATGATTGCTGACCTGCTCCTTGACGGCGACGATGAAGACGATTAGTTTGAAGGCTTCACTGCCGACGACCTGTCAAACACAAGTTAATCTAGTTGTAACTTTTTACAACTCAAACAAAACTGCCTTTTTCAGGGCCACCCACATCCTCCAAAAAGGCATATACTGTACTAAAATACATGTGTGTGTGTAAAAAGTTTTGTCTTGTGCCTGACGTACTTGGCTAGAAAAACAAAAGAAAGTGGTAGAATCAGAAGGCTACTTTGTAGCCACAAATTGATAGTTTGTTTACATATTCATTGCAAAACAGCGCACATTTTGCTTATTCACTGTAGCACAAAATACAGTGCGTCTCAGTGATTGGCATCTTGTCTTCCTCGCGACCAATTGAAAAGCTAGAAACATTTTGAGTGTGGCGTGGTGCGTGACTTTTAGTTGAGTTGCCTGCCATCCGCTCTGCTTCCCTGCGACATTTTTTGTTAGTCGCAGTCCCTAAACCACCCCAAAACATGAAAGAACATCTTGATTCCTATTAAATTGGCGAAAACAAGTTCAAATTGAACCGATCAAAATGCATTCTATTAATTCACTCACCTGAAAAAAATAATTACTATTTGTATCCTAATAATTCGTTCACTCCAAAAAATATTATTTTTACTACCGCGAATTTTACAGTTTTTACGGTACATTAGATTCTAAACAACTATGGATATGTATACCATCATTTTCAGACAGACAGACACAGACAGACAGACAGACAGACAGACAGACAGACAGACAGACAGACAGACCCAAAAACACAAGTTCCTGCTTCAGACTACATCCAGGGAACTAGAAAACAGTGGTAAATTCAGTTTTACTTACTAAGTAAATACCCCAATGATAATGAACTCAAACTTGTCTTCAGTGCAGTGATGTTCAAGTTCAGTGGATCAGATCCCTCATTCTTTACAGGTGTTTGAGAGCAATTGTCATGAGAAGAGTGACTTTTTGTCAGTCTACAATGAAATATAAATTCAAGATTTATTCATTCATCCTGTGATACATTCTCTGATTAATCAATCATTCATTTTATAATTGTATTAACAAAAACAATTATTAACATTTTTGATATGGGAAATTATAACTGGCTAGTGTACCTATCGGCAAATGTGACATGGGATCACCCATTAAATAACACACTTATATCAGATGTCAAGTCTGTTGAAACAGATTAATTTTAAGCGGGAATATACATATAGTAGATGCTATA